CACAGAAGCGCAGGATCTGAGATCCTGACGCGGAATGACCTGCTCCTAGGATGCCCTGGACAGGAATTATGTGAAACCCAGAAGGAAAAAGGAGGATTGCAACAGACAGAGCCAAAAACATTTCTGTGACGAGTATCATAAAGAGGATGTCAGACAGTGGATGAATAATGCCATTGTTATTATTCTGGATTTTATGATATTTGTGTTTGTCAGCCTTTTACAATTGGTCATTTTTGTGATGATTGTCATCCTAAATGAGTCTTCAACTTTGCTTCTAATGTATTTATATTTTCTTCTTACAAAACTCCCTTTATTTTTTAATAAGCTTTAGGACTTCCTAAACCTGAATCATCCTTGCCTCCATCTTCTCGATCCCCTTTGTTACATCTTGACAAGTCTTCTGGGGTCTGGTGCATAAAAGTCTCGAAGTTTAATGTCATTTTTCAGTTAATATTGATAATGACTACAGCTTCTAAAAATATGTAGATATTGAATAATTAGCTCTTATCACATCTATAAGAAAAATAAGATTAGCATTCCATTTTTATAGGACAGGTGTACTCAGGCAACTTGAGTAGATTTTCATAGCCTCAATGCTTCTACTAATTCCTCAGAGTTCTTATCTATCAGCCTTCCAAATAGGAATATGTTCATATATGAACATATTTCTATGTTCATTTACATAGAAAATTACATCTCTGCATTACAAAATATTTTTTTCTAATTATTTTCAGATATGAGAGAATTGCTAAATGCCTTTTGCCAAATGCCTTTATTCTATAATAATAGATACTTAAATAAAAATAAATGTTTCATATAGCCAAAGTACCCTCTAGTTTCCTGGGAAAAAAGATAATGGTGAAATGTTTCATCACTTCCACTTGAACTGGAATTGACTGACCAGAATAAGTGCATGTGCATTTGTGTACAGAGGATAATTTTGTTTGGCATTTCCAATCATCAAGATAACTGCAGTAAAGTCTTCGGAGAACATCAGTAATGTCTTGTAAAAGTGCCTTGGTGTGACAAATAACCCCAGATAACACTTTAAATACACTGCATTCCGAGAAAAAAGAAATACATTAAACTTTTTTGTTTGTTTTAGTTTTTATTTTATCCTGGAACATGGTTCATTAACAGTGCTGTCTTAGTTTCAAGGTGTGCGGCAAAGTGATTCAATTACACATACAGGCATTTCTTCTTTTTCAATTTCTTTTCTCAGATTATTACAAAATATTGAGCAGTGTTTCCTATGCTATACAGTAGGTCCTTGTTGGTTACCTGTTTTAAATATAGCACCGTGTACATGTCCATCCCAAACTTTCGATCNGCAAAGTGATTCAATTACACATACAGGCATTTCTTCTTTTTCAATTTCTTTTCTCAGATTATTACAAAATATTGAGCAGTGTTTCCTATGCTATACAGTAGGTCCTTGTTGGTTACCTGTTTTAAATATAGCACCGTGTACATGTCCATCCCAAACTTTCGATCTATCCCTCACCCATACGCTTCCCCAAAGGTAACTCTAAGTTCTTCTCTAAGTCTGTGCGTCTGTTTCTGTTTTGTAAGTAAGTTCATTTGTAGCATCACTTTTCGATTCCTCATATAAGTGATATCATATGATATTTGTCTTTCTCTATCTGACTTGCTTCCCTCAGTATGATGCTCTCTAGGTCTATCCACATTGCTGCAATTGGCATTGTTTTCTTCCTTTTATTTGGCTGGGAGATATTCCAGTGAATATACATACCACGTCTTCTTTATCCATTCATCTGTCGACGGACACTTGGTTTGCTTACACTTCTCGGCTCTTGTTAATAGAGCTGCAGTAAGCTTCAAGGTACACGTATCCTTTTGGACCATGTTTTTCTCCAGACATATGCCCAGGAGTGGAGTTGCTTCATCATACAGTAGCTCTGTTTTTAGCTTCTTGCGTGTGTGTTCAGTTGTGTCTGGCTCTTTGTGATGCCATGAACTGTAGCCTGCCAGCCTCCTCTGTCCAAGGAATTTTCCAGGCAAGAATACTGGAGTGGGTTGCCATTTCCAGGATCCTTCCTGACCCAGGGAGCATACCCACATCTCTTCTACCTCTTGCATCAGCAAGCAGGTTCTTTACGACTGTGCCACTTGGGAAGCCTTTAGTTTCTTAAGTCTTACATTTAGATCTGTAGTCCATTTGAGTTTATTTTTATGTATGGCACAAAAGAATGCTCTCGTTTCACTTTTCACAAGTAACTAACTGTCTAGTTTCCCAGCCCACTTATTGAAGAGAGTGTCTCTCCTTCATTGTGTAGTTTTCCCGCCTTTGTCACAGATTAACTGAGCATGGGTGCGTGAGTGTTTTCTGGGCTTTCTCTTCCATTCTGCTGATCTGTAGTGCTGTTGTGTGCAGTACCATACTGTTTTGATGACTGTAGCTTTGTAGTATAGTCGGAAGTCAGGGATCCTGATTCCATTAGCTCTGCTTTTCTTTCTCAAGATGCTTTCACTCTTTGGGGTCTTTTGCATCTCCATACAAATTATAAAGTTTTTAATTCTAGTTCTGTGAAAAATGCCATTGCTAATTTGATATGGATTGCATTGAATCTGTAGATTGCCTTGGGAAGTATAGTCATTTTGGCAATGTTGATCTTTCCAATCCAAAAACATGGTGTATCTCTCCAACTGTTTGTGTCATCTTTGATTTCTTTCTTTCAAATATATATTAAGCTTTAATAACAGCAAGTGAGTCAGAAGAACTTCCCAACTCAATAATAAGATAGTTGTAGAGACTTTGAAACCTTTAAAACTTCTGCTTTGACCATAGGTAAATCTCAGCAAGGCCACTAGCATCCAGTTTTATTCTAGCTCACTTTTTAGCATGAAGCCCATTTGGAAAATGAAAGGCTCCATCCACATTATGCTTTTCTAATGGAGAAGCACCTGCGTTTTCTGTCCTAAAGTTTCCCAAGTCACTGCTCACACGTGTCACCTGGGACCAATTCCCCGAACTTCTTTGCATCTCAGTTTTCTCATTTTATAATACAGTGGCTTGGAGTCACATCTCCAGCTCTGTTTCTGGCTCTGGCACAAATATCCCATGGTGTTTATGTCTACCCACATCTTAAATGGGTCAGATACTTAGGAAGAGGAAGAGTTACTAGCACTCTGTGCTTCATAGAGGCTGGAGGAGATGAAAGCACCACCAAGCCTTTAAGATTCCACTGAATAATTGCTTGACACTTGGCTCGGAGTTACCGAAGGGGATATTCCAAACATAGGACACTAAGTACAGTCACACATTATTCAGCAGTTCTGTGCTAAGATTAAGTCTGCATGTGGTCAAAATTACCCCCCACTGTCCCCTGTGAAGTAAATCTGCACTGTCTTTTACAAGCACAGATTTTCCCTTGCATTGAACAGGTCGCTGACTCTTAAACTGTGCCTCTGATGAAATAGTTGCCTTATGTTTGAAGCCACAATACTTTTTTAAAAAAGTAACTTATCTTGAAACCATCCCAGTTGAATGGTTAAGTTACCTTTTTCCTCTATTTTAAATTGTTGATTTATTTGTTTACTTTCTCTATGTTCATGCTGACTTTCTTTATTAAGTTTGTATAAGTTAAATGAGCTTCTTTGGGTCTGGATGCCACTGTATTACTTTTCATTTAAAGTCTCAAAGTTGACTGCTAACAGCAGGTGTTTGTGTCACTCATTCAGTACTGACATTGCTCTGCTGAACGACTTTATAGCTGGTCATCTGTGCCTCATACCTTTACTTGACCGTTTAGGACTGTGAAACCTCAAACTTCTTGCCCAGTTTTTTAAGAGTTCACAGTTTACCTGTCATTTTCTTCTATTTGTTTGGGAAATTAAAAAAAAATAATGTCTGCCTTTTTAAAGGTTGTACTGCTATGTCACTTTCTAGTTTCATCTCAAATATTTTAATCTTTAATGTCTTTCTGAGCTAAAAAGGTGTGCAAAGTCAGGATGGAGAAGATGTAAGGGAAGTTCTTTGAGATCATATAAATCATGTTTGATGATGCACAGAGGACTTCATAAAGGCAGATTAAGACCTATAGTGACACATCTTTTATTGATTTGTGCGCCTCTGTTGGAGAATGTGTATATGTCTTAAAAAACAGAGCCAAGCTTTCTGTGAAGACTAACTGGCATGTAGTGGTTATTCTCTTGGTGATTTCAAAGTAAAGACCTTTTTAAAAAATGGGGAATAGAGCAGACTCACTAAATAGGAGACCAGTTTTTCTCGATCATTGAATAAAAGCAAACTCTGACATATTTCAATGGTGCATACATTACATGTTCCATGTAATGTTACATGTTCCTTGGAAACTAATTTTATTCCAGTCATTAGATTTTTAAGTCACTTGACAATGTAACTCATTGAAAGTTGCTGCACAGTCTGTGAATAATTAGTCTGGTAACATTTATTTTATTTACCTGAGCCATGTTGGCTTTGAAAATTATGAATCCTGGCTAGTCTATGTTTAAAGATAAACCATTTATAATGATCTGAAATGTCATTTAATTATCACTCCTTTTCAAAGGCATTCATTTCAACAAGGGTGAGAGGAATTGGGTTTCCCCAGGCTCATTCACATTTTGATTTTTAACAAAATATATCAGTCGTTAGAGTTAAACCAAACCTTTTGTTGTTTTACCAAGATTAGGATCACGAGTCATTCTCAAGAATGTATTTTTGGGCAAAGTGTTGGCTGGCTACTGCACAGACCCTGTGTAAGGCCCAGCATCTGACCTCAAGGAGCTTATAGCTTATAATGAGGACAGATATACAGAACGCTAACCCAGAGGTGGCTTTGGAAAACGATAGAATGGAGTAAAACTCAGCTGAAGTCGAGGGAAGAAAAGCAGAAGAGGAAGAGAAAAAGAGGATCGGAAGGGGGTATTGGTGTGATTTCAGGAACAAAGACAGAGTCTGTAGTCAGAATTCGGAGAATTTAATGCTAACCTGAGGTTGAACTTTTTTCTCAGTTCCTGAAATCAAATACGAATATGAAGGAAGATTTGAGGAGAGAGATGAGAATTGTAGAATGTAAGAGCCGAAAGGGTACGTAAAAATCTAATCTCTACAGACAAGGAAACTGAGGCGCAGAAGTTTAAGTGACTTACCAGAGGTTGCACAGAGTATCAGTGTTAATAGCATATTGGGGTCAAAACCTTGTCTGCTGACTCCTGGCCTAGAAATCCTTTTATCCCATCACATCAGACTATTCAAGGTCAAAGTCTTCAGTAGGTACTGGTTCTTGAATATGTAGTGAATTGGCCTAGTTGTCATTTTTTTGAAGTCTGTTTTTCTTCTAAGAATGATAGCTTTCCTCCCAATTCCTGAATGTGTTATGTGTATTCACCATACCTAATAACTTACTCCTCATGTGTAAAACTCTTCTCATAGAATCATTAGTTTACTCTGTAGCTTTTGGAAGGGAGTGTGTTTTACTGATGTAGACTTGGAAGCTCCTTGTCATCCTTACCCTCCAGAACAGGCATTGCCATCTATTCCAGACATCTGTTTGTCTCTGTGCTCCCACACGCGTGGGTAATCAGTTTAACAGTATTTATGTCCATGACATGAAACCAAAGTTAGTACAAAATTAGGTGTTTAAGGTACTTATGATATTTTCTCCCATAAAATATCTGTGATACTGTGATGGTTTGGGCAGAGGTACACACCAGTGATTTCAAGTGAGGCTTAAGTGAAGTAAAGTCGCTCAGTCGTGTCCGACTCTGCGACCCCATGGACTGTATAGCCTACCAGGTTCCTCCATCCATGGGATTTTCCAGGCAAGAGGACTGGAGTGGGTTGCCATTTCCTTCTCCAGGGGATCTTCCCGACCTAGGGATTGAACATGGGTCTCCCGCATTTTAGGCAGATGCTTTACCCTCTGAGCTGCCAAAGCTTATTTATTCACAGATGTTTATTATGAATCCAGTGCCTATGAAAAGTGATACTTTGAGTAAACCACATTGTCAGGAATGGCATATATATATACCGTGGAATAATGCTTTGATTTGAAATTCTTCTTGACCACATGACTCCCTCCAGTCTCAGATGTTCCAGTGGTGTAAATATAAAAGACTTACCTTGTAAGGCATAACGTGAAAATGCTCACAGCCTTCACATTGGGGATACAGATTAGCCTGAGCAGTGCGTCAACGTCAGCATGTTGGCTGGGTGACCTGGAGAAAGGCAGTGCCCACTGTGTTAATGTTATCAGATGCCTGTGTGTGTTTGATATAATTGTGCAGCTCTGTGTGTGTAAACGTGAGTGTGTGTTGATCAGCCGCAGCTGTCATACCCAGAGACCTTTCCCCTCGACTGTTAGAATGGCATGCTTGGCATTTTGTGGAGACAGAATGTGGGAAGTATCACCAGCCGCCTCCAGAGCCAAGATGACTCTTCGGGTGATCAACCTGGTTTTCCCACTCACCTGAAAACCAGACGAAACCCCTCCTTCCCTCCGTGTTTCTGCCTTAGACTCTCTTGTATCTGATTCTTCCTTTACTTCTTTCTTCCCAACCCAGGCAGACCTTCTATTCCCTGCAGTGTCAGTGATCCTACCACACTAATACCATGAGAAGAAGCGGTTCATTGTCTCGATTAGGAATCACACGTCCATGCGAACTCAGGAATTCCCAGCAGTCACCGTGGGTTATGTGTGAACATGACTGCTTCATTCCAAGCACAGAGCTTGGCAGGAGATACACACAGGTTATAAGTGATACAGACATGGAAAGTATATCAACCCCTATACCCGATGGAGATCAGGAAAAAGACTTTAGCCTAAAATAACAACAACCAAAACTTTTTAAACCTCTTGTTTATGTCAGAGACTCAGTGAAACATCCACACCGAGTCTGAGAACCAGCTTCTCGCAACAGTCCTGAAATGCAGGTAACCTGCAGGCCCCCTGTGAGCTGAAGCACAGTTAAAAATTTGCAGTTGAGACCTGGGTGTATCTGATTGGATTCAAGGAGCTTTTGTTTTCACAATACTTGATGCCTATGAAAATAAAAATGCTGACTGGGAGGGGAGCTGCTGTGTGGGGCGGCCTCCACGCCCGACGCTGTCCATCCTCATGTGTTCCACTTGCAGACCCCCTGAAAGCCACATGAAGGTGGTAGAGGTTACCCTTCCAAGTCAGACTCCTGAGTGGAGCAGCAGACTCATTTGCTCAGGATAACAAAGGAAAAGCCAGAATTCGAGTTCAAACAGTATGACTCTGGATCAGGGGTCTGGAAACTTGCGCTGCAGGCTCTGTCTGGCTCATCTTCTGTTTTTAAACAGCTGGTGAGCTAAGAATAGTGGTTACACTGTTAGATGGTTCAGAAGAATGAAGAGAATATTTCATGACAATACTTGTTTATATATTTTCTATGACTTCTTTTGTACTGTCTTAGAGTTGAGGGTTAGTGAGACTAGTTGATCCTCAAAGCCTAAAATACTTAAACTCAAGTTTTTACAGATCTCTACTCTGAAAACTGCATTCTAACCTTTAGGCTATACTTTACTTAATCATGTTAGGCTTATATGGACTACGATTAGAATTTCTAGATTATTTTCCACTATGCAAAAGTTGAAAATAACAATGATCATCATCTGGTACACTTTTATGAGAATGGCACAGATGTGAAATTTTTAGAGTGGCTCGATGAAATCACAAAATAGATTCTATATTGTATTGTAAGAAAATAGAACAAATACTTTCCTCAAATCATTGCTAGCTCTGTGACTCATTAGAAAAAACTCATCCCCATTGACAAATAAAACTGAAATTTAACAATGTTCTACAACACCAATATGTTTAGCTAATTTGTATTCATTTATATTCATTACATTATTTTCAAAAATAGATGAAAAGTAGAACATTAGCTGGAAAGTTGTGTATAAAGCCCCACACTTACTGACTTGGCTAATGAGGCCTATGAGAAAGGATAAAAGAATGAGCTTATCAATGAAAAAGACTGATATTCAAAAATACCCACCTGTGTATTATGCACTTTTATGGGCAATGACTGATTTTATTCCTACATCATTTCATGGTTAAAGGCACCAAGGCCTAGAGGTAAAGAAACAGCTCTAAGTCATGCAGTTAGTAAGTGACAAAGCCAAAACAGATCGTTCAACTCCAAACGTGGTCTCTTCTTATAAAACAAATTCCAAGGCATTTATCACTTCAAGTTGTAAACTACTCTAGAATTACCTTATCCAGTAGGACAACGGATTCTCTTTCTGAATGTTGCTCCCCTTGTTTGATGCTAGTTCTTGTGTCTGTTATTAATTATTGAAAAGTAGTTTGAGAAGTAAATAATATTGCCATCAATTTGCCTCTCACACATATAAAAAATAGTTGAAAATATTGATGCAAAAGAATGTGTTTTAATAGTTTGAGAGTTTCAGTGAATTTTATTCCCAGTTTTGTATATAATTTGGTGAACTTGATTTCTATATATTTGACTAATTTTTTCTTGTGATTGGTGGTTATAGTTGCAAAGGGTAAAAATAGAAGATTAATTAAGTCTTTATAAGCAGTGGACTCGTTCATGTTTCTAGACCAAGTAGCAGAGATACCAGACTTGATGATGAGAGCAAACAGGTCAGCTACATGGTTTTAGATGATGGTGATAAAAGGAGACAGCACAATGCATAAAATGTCGTCGGTTACATGACACCAAAAACTGTACCTCCTTTTGCTTTAAAAAAAAGTTTTAATATTGAAATAGATACAAACAGATAAAACCAATAATCATCTCAGTGTCTTTATGTAATATAAACATCTATTCACTTATGCCCAAGAGTAAGGAAATCATTTGGTGTGAAAAAATTTCAAGCTTTGATGAAATCAAGGTCAGTATGAAAATCTACAAGTGTGTACTTGTGTAGGTATCTTTTAAGAGGCTCACCTCTCTTGGGCATGTAATTAGTCACAATGCTTTTGTTCTTTGGAAAGCAATTTTGCAAAATGTGCCAGGAGTTTTAGAAATGTCCTTAACCTTTGAACCAAAACTTTTGACTTATAGAATTTGCCTTAGGACAAATGTGAAAGATGTCCATTACTATATTAGATATGGAGTAAAAACTTTTAAATAACCTGAACGTACAAGGGTAAGAACATGTTTAGGAAAACTAAAGTATACCCAAACGATTAACTAGTTTGCAATCAGTACATGATGTTTAAAATATATATCTACTGTCATGGCGAAAACTTACATTGGCTAAAAATGAGGGATCCAAATTTTTTAAAACATTGACTGAAGATATGCATATTTACTTTTATGATGATACTGATGAAAATGTATTTTCTTTTCTACTTATACATGTTCCCCATTAGATGATGCATAATTTGAGGACAGGGTTTGTGTTTTATTGAGTATATTTCTCTTATACATAATGCTTGGGATATCGTACATGTGTGCTAAGTCGCTTTAATCGTGTCCGACTCTTTGTGACCCTACGGACTGTATCCCACCAGGCTCCTCTGTCCGTTGGATTCTCCAGGCAAGAATACGGGAGTGGGTTGCCATTTCCTCCTCCAGGGGATCTTCCCAACCCAGGGGTCAAAACTCCCTGCCCTGTGCCTCCAGCATTGGCAGGCAGATGCTTTATCACTGAGCCATCTGGGAATATAACTTCTGTTGAGTGAATAAGTGAAAGATCATCATCTTGTTGTCTTTATGTAAATTATAGTTTTTACATATTACATTTTATTTAGTTACTTTGTTACATGTATGATCAGAACAGACAATTTTTAAAGTAATAGTAAATTCTAAAAAATAAAAGTAATAGTAACTTTATATATTAGAAAAGAGAGATGCCATTTTTTCTCCAGAACTTCTGGAAGCTTAGTATTGTGAAATGGTTCTTTGTAATTTGGCTCTAGTTTAAATAACCCTCTCTTAATGGGCCAGCAGATCTATTGCTTGGCTTCCTTTCTACCCCAGGGTATTCTTTTACAGAATGGAAGTTCCCAACAATACAATGCTGAATCATTATTAGCTCTGATTTGGGAGACTGAGCCTTGAGATAATAGGTGTTTGGGGTCTGAGTCT